AGCCATGCTGGCTGTGGAATTCTGGGAGTTGAAGTCCATTCATCTTAAAGTGACCAAGTTTGGACAACACTGAGCTAAATGAAACAGAAAGGTAATAATTTTTTAACATATTTAAAATGAAAGCATGAGAAGAGTTTAGAAATGGATCCGCCACCCTTAAAAGAGAAAAATTAGCTTTCTCATAAGAATAAAAGATCTCGTCCTGCAAGGGAGCACCGCCATTCAGCCCCCAGAAATCTCGCCATCCGCCGCTTCCCCGTTTACGTTCTTGGGCGCTTCGCAAAACCCAACCCCTGCCGGGCAGAGATCCCCGCTGGGCGTGTTTGCGCCAGCCTGGCTGAATGCCTCTCTCTCCTTCTCTCTGGAGGGCAAAGGGAAAATGAAGACTTACTGGCTGTTGGGAAATAAGAACTACAGCGTCCAAAACGACAGCCTGGTCTGCCACTGGAACCCGGGGCTGTCTCAGAAAAAGAAGGCGGAACGAAGCTCGGCGCCCGGGCAGGAGGTATGCCGCTGAAGCGTTACGCAGATGCCAGGAGAGGGAAGGGCCCTTCGAGGTCATCTAGCCTGACCCCGAGGAAGGCCCGACTCCAGTATCCCAAACGGCGATCCAGGTTCAGCGGAATAGCTGCAGGGAAAAACAGGCTGAGCACGTTAGACCTGGACGTTTTTCTCTTGCATCCCGACAGATCAGCACCAGCACCGGGAGGAGTCCGGACAGCGAGAAACTCGCCGCTTCCCGAGAGCTGCATTGTCCCGCTATCCACGCTGGGGTGCAGCCTGGCCCTGCGGGACGAGAGCAAGATTTCCCCGGGCCCCCGGAGCGGCTCCAGGCCCACCACCTTCGCGCAGCCCCCCGCTCGCAATGCTCTCCGGACGGTGAGAAGCCTTCGCTGCCGGGGTCCGTGCAAGAAGCCGGAACGGGGGCACCCAGTGGATTTTCCTACGACGCCCAAGATTTTTAGGGCTCTCTCAAGCTCAGTGCCCAGCCTGCGCTTAGGTGGGGCGGCCACGAGGTGTCACCCGAGGCCCACCTATCGTGCCTCTGCCGGGTATTATTTTAATCTGTGTTTGTTTTTATCCAGCCACGTCTCCATCGCTGGAAAACATCTCAGCCGGGCAGGGAGACCCTTACCAGCTTAACGTTTAGGGGGAACTTGGAGAGCTGGGGGTCTGATACCTCTGACCAGCTCCAGATTGGGGTGGGCTATAAAGATTTCAAAGGCCCCTCACTCTCCCCACCTGCAAGGTTTTGCTTTCCCAAATGGCAGCTGACAACCTTTCCTGGCTACTGATGCTAACTCCATCTTCACTGCTTCCTCCTTTCCCTTGCTTTATGGCTTTTAACGGCATTTCTATACCAAGTTTTGGAACAATGCAGGCATTACCTGCTGCTTATCTGTGGCTTCGTGCTGGTCTCGGTGCCCCAAACGGTTGCAAGCGACAAAGGGGGAAAAATGTGCCACCCTAACCCAGCACATGGTCAGCAACTAGATTCCATCAGGAATCAAGGGGCCTGTCCTTCTCCAAGGGGCCTGCTCGCAAATTAGCCCTGCACTTCACTTTTTACCCCATTTTTGGCAGAAGGGACATTCGTGGGTCAGCCCCCTCCTCCTAAAAGCCAAATTTACTCAAGACACCCTGACCGCAAACCCCAGCCTGTTTGGTCAGGATACCCAGATCTTGCTCCTGGGCAGGGAACGAATCCCCTTCGAATTTCCAGGGTGGAATAACGGGGGCAGAAATCAGCAATGTCACCGGGAACCATTCTGACCTCCTTGCGGTTGCCGCGTGTCAATTGTGGCCAACTCAGCCACGTTGCAAAGGCGCTGCGCTGCAGGGTGGCATCCGATGCCACAGATTAGCCTGGCACAGGAATCTGGGGACAGCTGACGTGTCTCCAAGCCCAACGAGGGCCAAGAATGGGAAGAGCAGAAAATGTTCCACCTCTCCTCCCTGTCAGGTGATGGGGCCCGTGGTGTGGCTTCGACGGGGAGGCTGGGCTGATGAGTGAGTCCGTCCGTCCGGTCTTCGTGTGGGCCCCGGCACGTCCACTTCAGCCTCGCCAGACAAAGGGGGCAGGAGCCCCTCCTGCGGAATAAAAAGCCCAGGACTGGAATGTGCCAACCGAGGCCGGTCTCCTAATTTGGAGGTGCGGAGATCTTGCACAGACAGACGCCTCTCCCCAACCTAGTCTTCTCCCACATTTCATGCCCCACAAAAGGCAGGACAGGTGGGGAGGTCTGCAGGTAGCCTTAGAACCTGCCTTTAAGGGGGGTGAGGCAACTCATCGAGGAGAGGAAGACGATCAGATCGGAAGATGAACAAGACCTTCCACGTCTGCGGGCATCTTGCCTTCCAGCTCAGCCCGAGTCTCCTGAAGCAGGACGCCGAGTTCGATGGCAAATCTGGCTCAATCCTGCAGAGTTTTTCTTCCCCTTCTCCTTAGCCTGCGTTTAACGAGGATCTCCAAGCAATTACCAGTCTACAACCCAGCTGGACGGGAGAGGTCTCTTCTGTCCAAAGCCACAATCAGACAAGTAGGAATCCTATTAACCAATAACTCCAACTTCTCCAAATCCTGAAATCAAAAGCTTGCTTCGTTACCGGTGTTGGAAAAGGGGGATAAGAAAGCGGAGAAGGTACAGAGCGACGGTTGGTTTGCAGACGCCAAGGATAGGTGCGCAGGTCGCTTTTGAAAGGCGGTTTTTGGGCCCCGTTGAATGGACTGGCCAACATGTGCTTTTCAGAGCAAGCTGACTTCCACAACGCTGTGTCATTAAAGAAGAAAGGAAAAACGCCTTTGCCACTCTTGAGGTTTTTCAGAAAACACGGGGAGGAAAGAAAGGCAAACTTTTGGCAGGGAGAATTTTATTTCAGGGGATATTTTAAACCCCCCCCCAACACATACACTTTGGATGTTGTATCGCAGATCAATAGAAAAGCAGAAATAAAACCCTAGCTCAACGTTATTTCTATTACAATA